ATGTTTCCTTTCAGGATAGAAATAGCCTGAATATTTGAGACTAGTCTGAGCAACTTTTGGAACAAATATGAACATTTAAAACTTACAAAATATTCTAGCAATAATATTTTTTTAAAATATATAATCTACTGATATAAACAGCAACATGAATTAATCTCAAAGAGATTCTATTGAATGAAAAATAAAAAGAGCCAAACACAAAAGAATATACATAGTGTGTTCCCCTTAATAAGGAGATCAAGAACAGGCAAAACTAATCAAATGGCAATGAAAGTCACAATAGAGAGGCCCAATGTGACAGAGATGTAAGGAGGAACATGAGTGAATCTGCGGGAGCACAGGAAATATTCTGTTTTGATCTGAGGCTGGTAACATGCTATGTGCATATGAAAATCTTGAGATCAGTGTGGTTTGTGCATTTCAGTCTATGTTATACTTAAAATTTTTTTAAAAAATCATCTCAGCTGGTTGCATTATGGAAACTGACAGTGTTTCTAAAATTTATATGAAAATTCAAAGGGTGAAAATTAACTAAGTCACCCAAATAAGAACAAAGCGGAAGGACTTACTCTACTAACAAAAAGATAAAGTGTTAGATAGTGTGGTATTGGTGAAATAATGAATCAATAGACCAATGAAATAGAACATAGTCTATAAACAGACCTACTCATTAATAATACTGAATTTATAACCAAGATGAAAGTAAAGAGCTCTAAGGAAAGAATACTTTTTAATAACAGTATTGGGTCAACTGAAACTCATAAAAAAAAAAGAAAAGAAACTTTAACCCCAACTGTATACTTTGTATGTTTCAAAATCAATTTCAGATAGTTCATAATTTGAAATGTGAAAATTAAGCAATAAAGTTTTTAAAAGATAACTTAGAAGAATATGTTCATGACCTAAAGGTGGGATAAGTTGTTGTTTTGTGTTTTTAAACAGGACACAAAGAACAACAGCTATAAGGGGAAAAAAAATGGTGAGACTACATTAAGGAATTTCTTTCATTAAAAGACACTTGTAAGAGTAAAAAGCAAGCTACAGGGGAAAGATGTTTACAAAATATGTAAATGCTAAAGGCCCAATTTAGCATATGTTTAACAAATTCTTTCAAAACAAATTTTTTAAAAAAATAAAGACAATTTAATTGGTTAAAAATAAAGCCAAAAAATTTGAGAAGACTAATTGCAAAAAAGTACATCCAAATGACAGTTAAATTATTGTAAAAACTCAATGTCATTAATCATCAGGAAAAATTCAAATGAAAACCACAATGGATATAATTACCTACCCTCTATCCTCTAAAATGGATAAAATTGTGAAGCCTAAAAATACCAAGTGTTGGAAAGCATGTGGAAGAATTGTCATTCACAGCCGATGGGAGTGAAATAGGTATAACTTCTTTGGAAACACAGTTTGGCATTAATTATTTAGATTGAAATTGTATCTGGCCTGTAGCCCTGCCATTACATTCCTAGGTATATATCTGGCAGAAATATAGGCACCTAATCAAATGACATGTACAAGAATGTTCAAAGCAGCACAATTACTAGTAGCCTCAAACTGGAAACAATCTTAATGTCATCAAAAATAGAATGAGTAAGTAGACTGTAGTATGATCGGACAATGATAACTTCACAGCATTGTGCCAAGCTATAAGCAGCAGCACATGCCTAATTTCGAGTGAAAGAAGCTAAAAATGATGGAATACACAATAATTATTTGTGGGAGAAGAAAGAAGGTAATGGGCTGGCCTCCATAGGGCCATCACTTTGTGATATAACTCATTGAGTTATAACATCTATCTAAATGCACTGTATTTTTCTGTGTGAATTTTATACTTCACAATCATAACTTTTAAAAAAGCATGAACTATTTCTCAAAAACAAACTTTGAATGATTTAGAAGACGATTTGGTGAGATAGGGTTCTATAGGATTTTATTAGATAATATTTGGGTGCAAGCACATAGCATAAAGTTAGAAATTGCTAGCAATCCCACCCCCCCAATATTTACACGAAGTGTCAGAGCTTAACGTAAAGGATGCTTATTATCCACCCGGGACTTTCTTCTCTACATTTGTAACCACCATCCCCCCAAACCTTTTCCAGTGTACTTTATCTTGCCAATGCTCTCTCTCTTACTGCCACTAATCTCTAAAGTTCACTCTAGAAACAGTCATATCAATACAATCTAAACTTTCCCTGACCATACTTAAGTGTCGGGGATGAGTATTTTCTCCTATTCACAATGTAGTTTACAATACAGAAATCACAACAGTGCTGTTTTTTCCATAAATTAATGAGCACATTTTGAAATGCATGTTATTTTACAATTCACACCTCAAATGTATTTGTTTTATTTTCCCAAGTGTAAGAAGTATATGAGGCAGTCATTAAAGCACAGACTTTGGAATTAGACTTACCAGGTCTTGAATTCCAGTTCTCTTGTTCATTAAGTAAGCAACCTGGCAAGCTTGTCTCCTTGTTTTGGAATTTGGGGTAATGTGACAAGTTCACAGAGTTGCTGTGAGGATCGAAGGAGGCAGGAAATGTCAAATTATTAGCATAGTATCTGGCTCAAACTAAGAACTCAGTAACTTCATGTTATTATTGTTATGTATCGTTCCTGGAAAGAGTTTAAGAATTAAACTAAAATAGGAAAAATGTGACAGGTTTTTATTGTTTGTTTGTGATATTAGTGTTTGGAAGTGGGAGGTGTGGGGTTGCTGGCTTATGGCCTTTTCAATCAGAAAGCTCAGAATCTCATAGTACATCCAGCTCCACAAAATTAAGATCTCAGTGTGCTAAATCAAGGCAAGAGGGGTCATAATGTTTATAAGTAGAAGAAAACATTAATTTGAATGTAGTGAATCATTTTAAAAACCTTTACAGGAGAAAAAGATCTTTGAAGTATACAGTGGAGTTTTTTGTTGTTGTTTTGTTTTGTTTTTTGTTTGTTTGTTTGTTTTTTAAAATGGGAGGGACCAGGACCCAGGACTGCTACTACCTGAAGTCAACAGAGGTAGCTGCAGTCCTCCTTTAAGAGGTCAGATTTTAAAGTTAGTAAGGAACCTCCCTACAGTGAAATCTGGGACACAGGTAAAAAGTTATGATGAAACTCTTCATTTTGGTGCATGAGCATGACCTGAATACCTCTCAGGCCACACTCATCCTCCCTGAGGCAAGAGTGAAGAGTTTGTTACCATGGAAGGGAAATGTGGGCTGCCCTCTGGCAACTACCAAAGAGAATTCCAGGAAAGGAGAAAGTGGAGGAGAGGCCTGCAGAAAACTATTGGTCCCCAAATAAGGATTAGCCCACTCTTGGCTGGGAGCAGGTGGCGGGGAGGGTGGGGGGCAGGGAGAGGGTGTGTCTCACTGTCCCAATTCCACTACCCATTCCCACTTCTTGATTGGGGGGAGAACTTTATGAAATGATGCTGTTCAAGTGAAGAAATATTAGATTGTAAGGGCTACTATGCATGTCTGCTTTAGCCTCTATTCAAATAAATCATATTTGAACAGAAATGCACATAAGTCTTGAAGTTTAGATATCAAACAGTTGTTGATATAAAATGTTTTTGTAGCAAATCTATGCCATATTTAACCCACTAAAGGTGATAGCAATGGAGATAAACTAATAGAATCTATAACAAAAAAATAAGAATCAGCAATTCAAGGCAATACAGATGGTGTACTAGTAACAGAGTTTTTCCTAAAATGTTCAGGAATTACAACCAAATCAGTAAGAGTCCAGTGGGAAAAACTGCACTAGTTATTTTAGGAGAAAGAATTTACTATATAAAGAATTGGTCAAACAGATACTAGAGAACTAAAAAAGTAGAAAGGAATACTGGGATTAAAACAGAGAGAAACCACTGGAAGCCACTGCTGCCCTTAGGGAGAAGGAACAAGGGAAAGTGAGTGTTACATCCCAGAAGAGGAGCCTCACAAAATCGGGACTCTAACCCCTGGGAATTAGGTCTGGTCTGCACAGAGCTGGTATTTCCAAGGATGCAGTGAGGGGAATTCTTTGCCAGGACAAAGAGGCAAGGTGACACATTACAAACAGCAAATAACTCCAAAGCAAACCCCACCTCTCTTCTTCCAGCTCTGTCTTCCTCCAGTGCCCCCAACCCTGTAAACTAAAGATGCCACCTGGATGTGTGATTTGTGGAGTACTAGTTTCAGCATCACACATCCAGAGTCCCAGCCTAAGGGACAACCTGACTTGGACTCCTGTTTCTAAGAATTTCTGGCAGGGGAAAGTAGCAAATATTAGGGAATTCTGGCTAGGGGTGTAGCTCAGTGGAAGAGCACTGCCTAGTATGTGTGAGACCCTGGGTTCCATCTCCAGTATGGTTTTTTTAAAAAATTTTTTTAACTAAATATTTTTTTTTATTGGTTGTTCAAAACCTTACAAAGCTCTTGACATTTTTTTTTTTTTTTAGGGAATTCTGGAAATTGCCCCATCCTTTCACTCCCTTCCCAATGAAATGATTTGTTTTCTCAGTTACTGAAGACCTTCTTTATTCCCCTAAAATAAGGGTAATTGATTCAATTTTAATGTTGTTTTTCTTTATTTGTGCATTTGAAAACAGACATCTATGGGAGGGAAGAGTCAGAAAGCATATTAGAGAGGTAAATCATTTACTTCTCTACTTCCAGGCTGTGCCCAACCTTTAGAACTACCTAGAAAGGATCAGCAGTGAGAGCAACTCTCAGATTTTTCTATTCCAAAAAATCTTCCTTAAGTTCCCTCTTCTTCTCCCCGACTAATTGGAGAATTGGACCTCAAATCAGACCTGTGGTGAACTGCGAGCTACTGTTCACAAACCTGGGAAACTTCATTCAGACTGATTGCTGAAGGTGAAGTGTCCCTGTCCTCACCTGTAACACAGAAGGATATCTAACTTGAAGGTAGTGAAGGTTGAACGAAATCCAACAGATATGGCAGGGTGCCTAACAGTACGTTGGGAAATAACTATCCATTTCATTCTCCCAGAACCTTCTTCCGGTGTTAAATCTGACATTTTAAGTGACCGGCAGATAAACCTGAATACCAGAATCGCTTTGCAATGTACTCGCCTCCCTCTCTGGAGTGGAGTGAGCTGTCACCTGCATAGTGACCCCGGTTGGCCAGAGCGGTGAAACCCAGGAGGTGGAAAGGCCGACACTCTCACTACTGAAACCTGGAGCGGCTGGGATCCACAAAGCGACGGGAAGGTGCCCTCCCGCTGGCATCCACCTGGGGAGCCCTGGGGAGCAGCGCGCAGAGCCCGGGCGCGTCGCGGAGGACGCACTGCCTCCCGCGATCCAAGGGGACATCGGAGTTAACCAGCTGCTGCAGAGATGTGACCCAGCCCCGCCGCCCATGCGCGCACCCGAGACCCCTGCCCCCGGTCCCCCGGGCCTGCCTTTGCTGCTGGTGCTGCTTTGGGCGGCACAGTCCGGATGTGCAGGTAGGTGGCTGCGCCGCCTGGTGCGGGTGGCGGACCTGGTGGAGCCGGGTTTCGCTTTCGGTAAACTGGCGCCCGGCGCCCTGCCCACTCTGCACACAGAGCCCTGGAGAGATACTCGCCGCCACCGGGGGCGTCCGGGTTCAGGGTCAGGTTTGCGCGACTCCGGGTTAGCGCCTGCCTTTACGAAGGTTGGCGGTGGTCGCTCCGAGTGGTACCCACAGCCTGCTCCTTGCAGCTACCGTGCGGGACGCCCTTGCTCGCACGTCTCAAGCTCCCGCCACCACCGCTGTGGCGGTGCAGAGGTCCCTTTTGGATTCTGAGATTCCGGATCAGAATTCAATGCAAGAATAAGGAGAAGATTGCGTTTTTAAAAACCAAACTTCTGGGAAAAGTGACAGGATCTAGAAGGAGCAGCGCTTCAGAGCAGCATCCCCCTCTCCTGGGCACATTTTTCCCTATGCAGTTGTGACCATGTACAGATACGTGAACTTTGATTTTTCAGAAATAACAAAACTTTTCAGATTTATGACATCAGGTATTGGAAGGTTTTTTTTTCTTTTGCTATTTTGAAGCTTAAGCTCTTTACAAATTGGAATCCAGTAAACCAGAATAATTCGTAAACTATGATTTTTTTTTCCTTCTGTATTTCTGTCTTATGGGGAAAAAGCAAGATACCTGGGGTTTTTTATCTTTAGTTAAAGACAACAATCACAAAGCTTCTGGAAAGACTGTACTTTATGTAGACTAGGTTCAGGCTTCTGTGACTTTTATCCCAGACCTGAGGAGCAACAGAGAATGTAGGGGGGAAAGAGTTGTCTGTGAAGCTGTCCTGCCCTTAATAGCCAAAGGGGATGGGGCGAGTTTTGTAAGTTGAAAAGAAAAGTGTGTATACAAGTCTTGGAAGGATCTTTGTGTTTGTTTGTTTTGAAAACAAAGTTTAATTTTAAACAAGCTAATTTGAACAAAAAAAACCCATTATTTTTCTAGCTTTCTTCTTTCAGTTTTGGTAAGAGAAATATACTGAGTCCAGATTTAGATTATAACTGAGATTAGTTTTTAACTTAGAACAACCTTTTATTATATGGAAACTTTTTCTTTTAATTTCAAGGGAACAACAGAACTATAAGCATTATCAAAGAGTAAATTATCTTTGAAGTTTCATGTTTGAAGAAACATAATTATGGTCCCTAACAATAGTTTAGGTGATAAACTTGTTCTTTTTGCACGATCTTCAACCTGAAATTACTAATTACTGTGAAGAATCAGAATAATGTATTGAATTATTTTTATAATACTATAGCAAGGTGAATGTTTGTGGAATATGTGGAATGTCACTGTATACCATGTAATAAATGAACATTCAGAAACAGATTCAACACAGACTCATTTAAAGCAAATTTCAGGGAGTATCTGCAAATATGTATAAGAAAGAACTGGCCAGGTTTATTTTAAATAGTCCTACATAATTCCAAATATTTATTAAAACATGTCAATTCAATAGAAAATATGGAACTGTGCTAATGTTTCCAATTCATTTTTATTGCCCTGGATATCACTCCCTTCTTCCCTCTTGTAAGGATTTTTGAAAACAGATATTGTACACAAAATAGTTTCTCCTCTAAATCCTAAATTTATCAGAAGGTTTAGTGGTCCTTTAATAATCCCAGATAGGCTGAATAGAAAGAGAATACTGTTGACTTTGGCAACACTGAGCCTTCAACTAACATAATATTTTGCTTGTTTTTCTTTAAAATCAAAGACATTTAATTACAGTGGACTGGCCTTAGAAGGTAGTCATATTGTTAACTTCAAAGCAAAATTTGCAAGAAACACAAAAACTCTTTTCTGACCCATGAGATCTTAGCATCCTCCTGTCCTCTGGGGACTGCTGAGAAAACCAGGCTAGAAGGTAGTTGCCTGGACACCATACCTGCAGGTATGATAAAGAGCTGTGGCCAGCATTATATAAACAGATATTCAAAGCCAATAACAGCATTATATAAACAGATATTCAAAGCCAATGAGACTTCCCAGTTCATGCGTCTATGCTCAAAACCCTTCAAAGGCCTCCATTTGATTCTAAATTCTCCTGTAAGGTCCTATGTGGCCTACTCATACCTGTCTCTCCAATCTTACTTAAATTCCTGCTATTCTAGCCCTTTTCTAGTTCCTAGATGAGAAACCGTCAAATTGCCACTAGAATGTTCCTACTCTTGACTGTCCTGTCTAACACCTGCTCAGACTTTTCATCTCAGCCCCAATGTGTTCCCCTCAAGGAGATCTGCATCCCCAGAGGAGAAAAATTCCAAGTTAACTATGTCCATGAAACAATGAACCTAACTTTAGTTTTAGAGATTTAGAATGCAATTTAAATATTACTGTCACAATTATGCTTATTGGAACTAATACACTATAATTAACACAGTGAGGGTATTTGTTGAAATGTCTCATTTGATATAAACAGAGGCTTAGGGTATTTTGTTTCATTGAGGAATTCCATGGCATACTTCACATGCAACTGCACACATACATAAATGATTCCAGTGAACTAATTAAAACTTTCAATTTTTTTCTTTTTATTTTGAACTACTTTGAGACATAAAAGTCGCAGATATAGTACAATGTTCCCATATATCCCTCACCTAGCTTCCTCCAAATTTTGACATGTTACATAATCATTGTACAATATGTAGAACACTGGTATAATTCTATTCACTAAACTAAAGACCTTGCTTGAATATTCCCCATTTTTCCACAAATGCTCCTTTCCTATTCCAACATCTCATCCAGGATCTCACATTAAATCTAGTTATCGTTTCCCCTTAATTTCCAGTAACAGTTCCTTGGCCTTTCTTGGCTTCCATGACCTCATACTCATTATCTACAATACATTGACTTATTTGTTCAATTCTACGTAGTCTCAGAATTGCCAACTTGTGCTCCCATGAGAAACACATCTACTATCTAGATTACAGCATATATAAATATAAATATATATATATATATTTCTTTAGTCTTGAGATTTATATTATCAATCAAGATACTGTTGATCAAAGACCTAAGTTAGTTTTTTTTTCCTTCACCCCTTTTATGTACCATGATGCCTACATGGTACTCCTTTCTGGTTTTTGTTATCTTTAATGACATATGCACTCTGACACCTCATTCAGACTCAGAATTTTATATTAATACAGTTTCACCTAGTAGAAGTGATTTTCTATTTGCATCTCAGAGTATTAAAAAAAAGAAAGCATGACTTAATGATTTATCTAGGACTTGCCTGTAATGGTGATCTTTAATGCTACTAAAGCTTCTCTTTTCTGTAAAGAAAATTTTTCAATGATTTCAAATATTATCTCTACAAAATCAGTTCTGATTTTGAGGGTGAGCCATTGCACATTGAGCCACCCAAATATCTACTTTGCTCACTGTATCCACCACATGATCAATTGCCTGGGACACAAGATGGGTGTTCTTTATCCTAAAGACAAGTCACTACGTTTTCCTTATACTGCCTGGTTTCAACATGTGTTCTTTGCATCCAGCTTCCTCTCAGATAAATTACAATCTAAAATCTCATTTCCTGCAGCTACATTTGTGTTCTGGTGATGTGGAATATTGTAACATTTGTTTATACTACTTCTCCCATTTAAATTTTTCCCTCCCAATGTTTGTAGGTATTTTCCCCCTTGACATAAATCCCCTCATCTCTACCTTCAGGTGATTCAATAACCCTTAGAACATTTGTTTTTCTCTTCAATTGACTTGTGTTCATTTTTGAGGAAAGACATAGGCAAGCAACAGGTGACCACTACAGTACAGTCTCTTAAGGCTGCCAAAACAAAGGACCACAGTTGAGCAGCTGAAAAGAACATAACATGATTCAGGAAACCAGAAGTTCAGCCTCTAGGTGTCAGCAGGACTGAGTCTTTCTGAGAGCTTCGAGGAAAAATCTGATCCATGCCTCTCTCCTCGCTTCTGGTAACTGGAAATTTGGGGTATTCCTAATCTTAAAGACACATCACTTGAACTCAGCCTTCATCTTCATATGGAATTCTCCCTGTATCTCTTTATGCAGTCTCTAAGAAGTCTGCATCCAAATTTCCATTTTTTATACAGACACCAGTCAGTCATACTGGACTTAGATTCATATTGACCTCATTTTAACTTGATCAGCTCTGTATAAACACTATTTTCAACCAAGGGCACATTTCAAGGTACTAGGGTTTAAGATTTCTACCTAACAATTTCTCTTGAGCAATACGATTCAGTTTATCTCATTTGCCCTCAAAGACCTGTAGGGAAGTGAGCAGGATGCATGGGCTGGGCTTCTAGAGTGGGAAACAAACTGTCTTTCCAGCCCCTCTTGAACATGGCTAGTAGTCTGTGTCCATGACTGAAGGGAAACTTGCAGAAGTGTCAGACCTGAAAGGCCCCACTGAGAATATTGAAGGCAGAAATGAGGCTTCTTGAATATTTTCCAAAACACAAATGTAAAGGAGAGCCACCAACGGGTGCATAATAGAGACATGATGGTCAAACATCCTTAGCAGTGGGATTGAGTCTCCCCAGACTTCTGCCTCCTATCTTTATTCCATGAAGCACTTTTGCTGCAAACTCTGGTCCTTGCTCCAAGCAGAACCATTTCCATACGTGAAGCATAACTATCTGTATTATTTGTCTCAGCACCCCATCTGTTTCAGATTTAAATATATATGTTGCAAAAAGTCTACTTACAATTACCTACTAAATTCTCACATGTAACTTTTAAGGTTAGTGCATAGATTTTTTTTTTCAGGGGTGGCCACTGGGGATTGAGCTTAGGGGCTCTCAACCACTGAGCCATATCCCCAGCCCTATTTCATTTAGAGACAGGATCTCACTGAGTTGCTTAGTGCCTCACAGTTGCTGAGGCTGGCTTTGAACTCTCAATCCTCCTGCCTCAGCCTCCCAAGCCTCTAGGATTACAAGTGTGCGCCACGACACCCAGATGTTCTAGG